AGGGGGGAGGCAAGAGTTGGAAGGGTTGGAGGGAGACAAGGAAGTCGAATCAGTGATGATAACGACAACTCCCCGAGTAAAGACGTGAGGTCTCGCAAGAGGAAGAGAGACGTGGAGGGATTGGGCAGTCCTTCAGCGGATGCGGTCTCGGAGAAAAACTTGAGAGAGATGGCCCACATGGTTCTGGCACGATGGAAGACAGCAGCCTACAAGAGTAGCTACGAGCCGAGGAAACTGCTCGACGTAGAAAAGGAGATGGAGATCCCCACCAGCTCAACAATGGAAGAAGACTTCAAGCCTCAGAGGATAAAAATGAAGCAAGGCTCGACGAGCGGGCAGACCTGGGAAGTGGACGGCGGCAAAGAATGGGTCTCAAATGAACACCAGGCTACCGGGAAGCAAGTGACTAGCGATCCTCTTGAGAAAAATAAAACGAGGAACACCGCCCGACCGTGGTGGGTGGCCCTGGAAACATTGCAGGAATTGGAAGACTGCCTGAAGAAGCTCGACAGTGGAGTGTCACGCAAACGACGCAACTGGGCTGGTATCAATAAATTAGAATTGGGGAGCCAACTGAAAAGAACTTGGCAGAACTTGTTAAAGGATCATTTTGAAGAAGCGATGAGAACATCCTCATCGGCATCGCCGTTGATGGCGAATCCCTTTATTAGGACCGCAGGACAACTGATGTTCGCGTGGAGCCTGTTGGGGATAGAGTTAGAGACACTGACTTCGTACGACAAGTTGAAGTTGGGAGGCAAGAATCTAGAGGTATATCGAATGCTGATGCAGCACGTTGCTAGGGACAACTCAGGCTTGAGCCTGGCAAGGAGGAAAGATGCTACCTGTTTCTTGAGATGGACAATGTCAATGATGACTGACAGTACCATCCTAGCATGTCACCAGAGAGCAATTGGAAGCAAGACGCTGGAAAGGAGAGTCTCCACAGTCATCTTGAATGTGTACCAGAGTACTGGGATAGAAAAGGAAGATGGTTCTAGGCAATCTCTAGAGAGCCACAGGAAGTTAGATGAGATACGGAGATTCTACAACAAGAAGTTCGAAGAGAAACACGACGTTCACCGTAACTTGGCTTCTTCAAGAGAGTACTTGAAACCCAAAAAGAGGGGAGAGTATCAGTATGTGTCTGGAGTGATGGGGATGGCATACAACCCTTTCTTAGACTTAGAAGCTGGAGGTGCCCACAGAAACTATGAGGTGGCGGAGCTGCTGAAGTTCTGGACAGAGAGGGTAATGGAGATAGACCCTGTGGAGAGAGAGAGACCTAGTCTAGGTTTGATTCTCGAGAGAACACCGGAAGTAATAAGTGTGCCACGCTCAAGTAAAAGAGTAGAACTAAAAATGGGTAACGGGAACGGCATGTTGACCACGAATCTGGGAGTGGTGTGGAAATTGCTCAGGCCCTCCTGGTGTCCACATCCCCATGCGAGCCTGATCGAGGAAGTCACTGAGCGAGTGAGATTGGCGCCGACAGAGGATGAAGATTTAGCGACCTTGAGTATAGTACATAGACTGATCCTGCCTCATATGAAGGAGTCAAGTGAGATGACGAGTGGAACAGGGTCGGTGAAGAAGATGGAGCCGGGCAGTTGTCTTGACTCGACGTGTGGGAATGGCGAGCACACCTGTGATGGACGATCGCGCGTCAGGATACAGTCTTTCCAGAAAGAAGACCTAGTCACCTGGTTTGAAGATATCACCGAAAGGGAGAAAAGTGAGATACAGATAGTGGCTGAGTGTTACGCGAGTACCACTGTGAACCTAGCAACAGCTCTGGGATTCTTCTCAAGAATGTGTAGTCTCCAGTCACTGGAGAGGCTAGAGTCAGAACACCACTTGGTGACTGCGTTGAGCGTGGAGTCATGGCCCGGAGTGTTGCAAGTGACCCAGAAACACATCAAGAGTTGGAAGGTTGGACTCGAAGCGGAGATGGGATTTCCCATGAGTGAAGCCTATGGACTGCCTCTAAATGCGAAGTCTCTAGTGGGATCAGTGATGGCCAACCTATGTGGCAGCCACTATCCATTGTACATGGCGATGGTAGAAGTGTCCAGCCAGAGGGTATTGATAGACAAAGCCTTCTCAGTGCCCAAATGTGTAAGACTAGCTCGGATGTCACATCATTCACACAAGCTGTTGAGGAAGGTCCGAGGAAAAGTGCCTAAAGAACAAAGGGATGACTTGAGTGAAATCTGGGGTGAAGAACTTCTAGGCTTGGAGAGCGAAAATACAAGTGACCTCGAGAGACAAAACGTGATTGGGAATCCCATGGTAGGTGCCCCAAACTTGGGAGAAGTCGACGTGATACACGACAAGATGATGGAACTTGAGCCTCTCCTGGAAGCCTCGGGAGAACGCAATCTTAGGAGCATCGACCTCACACACGGGGATTTTCCATGCCACTGTCTGCCGCAGACAGTGTGGTACCCAGACTAAGCCAATCTCTGCCTGATCTGGGATGTAGAAGAAATCAGGTCGTTGGGATTACCCGAGCATCAACAAAAAGTGACCATCTTGGTGGTGAGCACAATGCTGGCTCTACGATGGATGGAAGAAAACATAGCAAAGTATCGAGAATCGAAGACGCCAACAGCAGAGTCGATTCACGCGATAGATTACAGCAGGAGACTGACTTGAGTTGTTCGAGACAGCATGCAAGGTGTTCGCCATACCAATGGAAGTCAGACACGTGTGGAGCCGCTTGAGATTCTTTCCTTGGTTTCGCGCGACGTTAACATCCTGGTTATATGTAGCGACGAAGGATCACATGAGGAAACATCAAAAGGAATATCGACAATTCCAGGCCGAGATAGGACCAGATGCCTTCAAGAGACCTCTGCTGACCCATCGAAATGCGATCACGACGGGGTGGAAAAGAGTGGGTAGAGTATCCAGAGATAACACTAGAGCGAGGGAGTCAATACTGGAGGAGGACCTGGCGAAGAATGTAAGCCTGAGTCTTCACAATTCCTTCTGTTTGAACCGGGAGTCGAAGGTGAAGAGCTTACCAAATCAAGCGAAGAGATTGCTAGAGCAAAGGGAGTGGATGCGATCCTATGAACAGCTGAAGGCTTGGGAGGAGATTGTGATCAGCTCCGATGACGAAGAAGCACTATTGGAACAGATCACAGTGTCAAAAGTATCTGGATCGGGTACCTCGAGGGCGAAGAACACAAGGTGAGCCAGTGGCACAAAAGGAAAATTCTAGAGTCTTGAGTCTTGAGAGGGAGGGGGCTCGAGGGTGAACTCGGATGAAATCTGGGTTCACGGAAAAGAAATTTTAACAAATAAGATATTGTTATTAATATGCTGGATCTATTATATAAATCAAAATGCTTCATGACAATTTCCTGATTGAATAGGACAAAAGAAATTTTAAATTACCAGCTTAAAAAGCGGGAATTCATAGGTGCAGGTGTGTGCAGATTTTGATTGCTGTTTAGCGATAGTGTGAAAATTTTATATGGTCGTGAATTTTGGAAGGTAGATAAACTTAAGTCTGCTGCAAACTTCTGTAAATGACCACTGGCACTGTATCTTGAGTGACACTCGGGCTTCTGGGGATTCACTGACAAAGACAGCACGCGATGAGGATATCGATCTTTAGTCCGGGGAGTATGTGCCAGTCGGTCATATCTGGAAGTTTGACCTTGAGAGACACGAAAATACGTAATTTTGGAGTGAAGTTTTAATTTTCAAAATTTCGAATGGAGCCTGTCATGCTCAGTTTTCTCGCACCAACTGAAAACAAAAAGAGAAAAATCAGAACATCCGAGTTTACAATTGCGGGAAAATACTCAAGAAAAACAGCACGAAATTGCTATTCGCAATTTCCAGATATAAAATAGGACACGAGTAGAGCTGTCTTATCCCGAAATATGAGGAGAGGTAATAAAAAGAAGAGAGAACAACTATTCGGAACAAACTAGAGTGAACTTTCAATGGAAAAGTGGACAGCTTGAGTGTCCCAATTCCCAATGGTTCACACAAAAACTCCAATTCTAGAGCCAGAACTTACTTCTGTTACCAAAACTGACCAGTATTAAACTTATCTAGTTATATTATCTAATTTTTGAGTTGCTTACCAATTTAATTACTCCTTGTACTCGAGTGCATCAACATGTGAGTCCCCAATTCAAATTTCTCGAGTGTGTTTTATGATTGTTATGTTGAGATAAGGCGAGTTTTAGGTTGATCCATCTGAAATGGATCAAAGTTCCACTGTACAATAAAAAGTAACTTAACGGATTGTTCCAACCCTGTTTTTAACGGCGTTCATGTATTTTGGGTATTTTGAGACCTAAGTATGGGAACGTTCTTATTTTCTAGAGTGGGGGGATATTTTGGTAGTAGCCTTTAAGCTGTAACGGGTTCTAGTCTCATGTCGCAAGCGAACCGAATTGGCTCCGACCGTTCTTGAGGTAGAAAAACACAAGAGATAGTGTCCCTGACTCTTGAGCCAATAGTTATAGGGCCTATTTTTCTTAAGCCTCATATGTGACTGAAGTAGGCGACTGTTACAAATTTTCAGTAAATAACTAGTTTCAACTCAAGTAGTTTGGTTCTCTGGACCAATGGGTCGCTTCACTCGTCCACCTGCCCAATCAAGGTTCTCCTTACTCCAGTAGTAACAATCTCACAATAACACTGGGCGTTCTCTATCAGGAACAAGACAGCTCTTCTCGAATCAGTTATTATTATTAGACAAATTGTGAATAGCAATTTGGCTCGAGACTGATTTTCTGTCCACTTTCCCGCAATTATAACTCGAATCTTGTGATTTTATTGACTTCTTATTTTAGTTGCTGCGATAAACATGAGTATGACTCGGCCAATTCGAATTTTTATAAAAAAAATTACCGTTTCCCCCGAAATCAAGACAAAACTTCAGAATATGACCGACTGGCACACGTATCTGTCCGCTTGAATCTGTTCAGACAATTTTTCACGGGTATCAATTAGTTTTTTATGTGTTATGATATATTTTTAGTTTATGAACTCCTCACCTTATATCACAAGCAACTTCTCTGGACTGAACATAAGACAGAACTCTTTCGTTAGCGAGTTCAGAGAATGTGAATCAATTATGAGAAACAGACAAGAGCGTTATGAGAATCAAACTGTAGGTGCTCCTCGCTTGCAAGAAGTAAACGCAAGTTATATTAATTTCGGGTCAAGTCAACAGCAACAGTTTTCAAACTTAGAAATGTCAAATCAAATGCTTCGTGTTTCTAATTCGCAGTCTCCAGAAATTGAGTGCAATGTTGCTCTCACCCCTCAGCCTCCTGATCAGTCGCCCTACGACTACCAAATTGGCTCCGTTCAACAAAGCTACCAGACTATTCGATCGCCTAGCTTAAATCAGTCACCCGGGCAGCAGATAACCATTCCAAAACCACCTCGAAAAAGCAGTAAGCAATCCTCAATGCAAATTATGAATTCCAATACAGGAAACTCGGCCTCGACAGGCGTGTGTTCGGTTTGTAGTGACAGTGCTTCAGGTCACCATTATGGAGTGTTTTCTTGCGAGGCATGTAAAGCGTTCTTCAAGAGAACAGTTCAAGGCAATATTGAATATTCTTGTCCCGCCGATGACAACTGCGAAATTAGCAAAAACAGGCGCAAAGCATGCCAGGCTTGCCGATTCAAGAAGTGTCTTCTGGTCGGCATGATGAAAGAAGGTAATGATGTTTTGAATCTAAGATCTATAACACACACAAATTAGTAGGAAAAGAAAAGTCATGGCCTTGGAACAAGAAATTTTGTGGTTTTCTTCCTAGTAAGTTCATGAGCACAAAATAAATGATTAATTTGTATAGCAATTTCTGCTAAGGCATTTCTAGTCACCAGGGATGCTCTATATATTCGTTATTACGTTTGCGATAAGCAAGCGTTATCAAATCGGACTGTAGACTTTTTTCGAGTTCACAAAATTGGATTTGGAAAGCTCCCCTCCTTAAGCTAAACTTTTTAAACAAAATTATGGCCTTTTTTTGACTTTTCTTAAAAACTGACCTCCCAAACCTGAGGTTTTGGGTTCGATGGAGATAACGGGTAGTGGGAAACCTCCCTGCCTTAGCGGCCTCTCACAATCTTTTTATACAAAAAAAGTTCTCGTCCTCGGAAAAGTCAGTTTTTTGATTTTTCCAAGTTTTTGAATTTTACCGAAAAATAACCTCCCATATCTGAAATGTTGGGTTAAATGCAAAGAGTTGGTTGAATGAAGCTCCTTTGCATACGCGACTACGCGCAAACGTTTATGACTAAAGAAATTATTGCCTTCGGAAAGTCAAAATATTGTTTATTTGAACGTTTTTTGAAACTTTTGGACTTTTCTCGAGAACTACCCTGCCAAAGTTGGATTTCCGGGATCAATCGAAATCGGTTGGGCGAATCTTTTCTGTATTAGCGGCTACGCGCAAACTTTTTGAAGCAAAAAGATAATGATTCTCGGAAATGTCAACTATTTGACCTGCTTTAAGATAGAAAAAAGTTATGAATTTCGGAAAGTCAATTTTTTGAATGTTGACCGTTTTTTTTTAGAATTTTGTGAGACAAGATAACTCCCGTTTTCTGAATCAATGTGATTCTCCCACAGGTTCTCGATGATATAAGTGGTAGTTGTAACCGGCAGTTGAAGAGATGGTCGGTGGCATGTAGTCCTAGGTAACAACATGGGCTGAGGTCAGGCACATTCATTTTAGATCTATGATAGTAGCTACGAAGGTGGGTTAAGTAGCTGGATTGAATTAAGAGCGTGTACATCTAATTTTCCTGACAATTTTGCTTTCATTTGATGATATTTTGACTTCTAGATTTTTAAAGGAAATTGTGTTGCTTTAGCTAGATTTTTAATCCCGCCACCGTGTTCATGCTGAACTGTTTTCAGTCATTTTTTCTTCGAAAAAAGATTTAGGTTGTCATCATTTTGTGTTACCTAGTTGATAGGTTTTTGTGCTTTGCGAGAGCAAGTGGCTGTTAATCGGGATTGCGGCATTTTGAAGTTTTCTTACAAATCTGTGAAAAGTTAGAATGATGTACAACGGAACCTCTGCAACTTCCCGGTCCATTCATTCTAGTTTTAAAGGTAGAGCGAGTGATCTTGAATTCTACCGACGGTAGCTCAAATTCCGACCAAACGCACCTTGTTTTCTTCGATATGAGCGAAATGAAATTTTTTTTTGGGAAAATATGAATAGTCGGACAGTTGTCTGCTTATTTTTTGTCGGCTGATGTTTGAAAGCATTATTTTTTGAAAGCTTCATTTTCAATAATTTTTTGAATAATTGAAAGTCGTGCTGTTTTAAAGCATTATTTTTGAAAGCTTCATTTTCAACAATTTTTTGAATAATTGAAAGTCGTGCTGTTTTTAAAAAAATGGTAAGAAAAAAGAACGGATTGGGTTTTATCTACAGCTGATTTGTTATTTTTGAGATACCATAACTTCATCTAGGTAAAAATTTGTTCATATCCAGGATATAAGTTTTGTGCACTGAGTTAAGTGAAGTGAAGAATTTGAGCAAGTTCCATTTTGTTTAAATCTGATGTTTGGTCATTTGCGAGTCTTTTCGTCATTTTATTAGAATGACAGGCGCTCAATACATCCGTTGAAGAGAATGACAGACGATCAATGTTTTTCACCTTCTTATCAATTTTTCAACCAAACACTCTGAAATTGGCTGTAAAGTGCAGTCGGAACTTTCGGGGCTGTGCCCTGATATACGAGCAGTCTTGTCCTAAGTTCTATTAATGCGTAAGCGGCAGTTTAATCCGGCTGAGAAATCGTTCCAAAGCTTGTTTTAAATATGATTTGAGGCAAGCTATTAAGAACTATTAATACGTCGCTAGGCGCTAGTTACCTCACAATGTAGTTGTGGGTGAATAATTTTTCATTTTTTTTAGAGTCGATGAACATAGTTGAGAACTTGAGACTCTTTCTAGGGCACGATGATTTTTTTGTTTCAAGTAAAGTCTTAAAATTTGTTCAAGCTCAATTTTACTTTTTCGCTGTTTAACTTTTGATTTATTTTTAAGTTCAGTTCATTTACCTGCTTGAAGGGAAGACAAATTCTACTATCGAACAGCAAAAGTTAAGCGGTCACGAGAAACGTGCTCGAGTTCTAATTACGAAAGTGGAATTTCATTTTCAGATTTCCCATCGAAATAATTTTTTACTGATTGAGTATATTAATTTTTCTCAATTTGGTTTGATTTTTCAAAAAAGTTCCAATCATAAAATGTTCTAGAAATTCAAAGAGTTTTAAGGGCATCTAATTTTTGAAAATTTTTAAGTTTTAATCTTTTGAAAAAAAAATCAATATTGTTTTCTGTTTACTTGCGTTCATTGGATCTTTTCCAATTGTCTGTCGGCTATGTTTGAAGTTTTTATAATTTTAGTTTCTTAAAATGATGAATCATTTCTTAAACCCAGCAAAGCAGTCGGAACATTCAGGATCAGTCGGATTTTTAGGTATTTATTTAAAATGTATGTGTTTAGATTTTTTTGATTTACTTGCCGGAATTCTTTTTCCAAAAAATTCGAGCTGCTTAAGTTTATTTATTTTTGTATTATGATTTCGAAAATAAAATTTCTGATTGTTTTTTGTTAACTATATTTTCAATTCCATAAGTTCAAGCTAGTTTTTATTTGATGCGCACATCGATAAAAAAGCAAAGATCTTTCAACCTTCTTTTCATATTGATGGATATTGTCAGATCTCAGATGACAATTAAATGAAACATTAAAAATTTAGATAGTCAATTTTGCTCTCTTTGGGCTTATGTTTTTAAAATCTGAAATTTTTGAGGATTCTCAAATATTTCTTGTCTAAATTTCATCGAAGTTACGATCCTATGTTTTGAGCTTTCCTTCTCTCTGCAAACTTATAACTCAAATGAGAAAAATATGAAAAAAAATATGTTTTCCGCTTAAATATTGTTTTTTTTTGCACACTAGTCGGCTTATACGGCTTATCACCGCTTTAAGAGCAGCGTAGATCTTGATTAGTTCCGAAAGAAGAATCAACTCGATCTGATTGTCTGCAAAATAGTGAAAAAGACGATGATAAAGTTTCCTCGAGACTGATTTTTTCGAATTTGATGGGGATTCTGTAGGATATATTTCGATTAGCAACAGTTAAACTGTTGTTTCTCTGCCCATAGCTCAGAATTAAAGACATTTTATTGGAATTAGCGTTTAAAGAGTTGGCTTCCAAGTTATTTCTCGGTTTCGCAAGTTGGAAAAGGAGTTTGTTTGTTCTGCATAACAAGCGGGATAAGTATGCTATTGATTTTAAATCAAATTGACACAAAAATAACTGGCTGATATGCACAGAATTTTGTGACCTCAATCACTTTAGCAAAGAATAAAAAAATTAGGATGAGGGTAAATTCCCGATAAGCATTACCAATAGCGTCTTTAAAATAAAATTTTATTTGATTAGGCTAAATTTAAACACGTTGATTTGAATGAAAGAGTTTTGGATACCTGAAGTGCTTTTGACTTGTGGTGGTGAGTGACTTTTTGCTCTAAACTAGTCTGAAATCAAAAATTTTCAAACCATTTTTTTGTGATTTTTTTTCGATAGAAGAAAGATCCGAGAGGTCTAATGGTGCCCCTGTTTAACCCTATCATTTATAAATCTGGCGCTGTCGTGTTTCAGGAGTGCGGCCAGACCGAGTGAGAGGAGGTCGTCAGAAGTACGAGGCCAATCCAGTCTGTTCACTCCTCGACTGCAGACTGAGAAGCAGTGCGCCCAGCGAAATACAGGGTTAGAGTTAAGCATAATTAACCATTATCCCCTACTATCATTGGTACCTGGTAGCGAATACATTCCGTATAATGGACTTATTAATCATTATACCCTTACAAAGTATTGATCAAAAGTATATGTTAATAAATATATGTTAAATTATACAGTACCCTCAAAATGTTCGGTGGTTACATTACAGGAATGAGAGCGAATATCATTCGGAAGCTTCTTGAGATTGAGCCACCCGTGGTGCAGTTGAACTTCAAATTCAAAGACCAACTGCAAATGAAGAAGGAAGGGGGACATGATCATGGCCATCCTCATAACATATCAGCAGACACATCCAACTACCATCACTCGTCATTTGAGAATCAGAAGCAGTTCAAAACTGAACCAGTGTGTTATATAGTCCATACCATACCATAGCGGTATAGACGTCACAATTATCTATCTATTACCTCAGCATACTTTTTCAAGTTCGATCAGTTTTTAGCTAAACAAAGAGCCCCGTTTTTTTTTCGAATCATTGTCTTGATAAGAGAACTATGCGAACCAAACGCGTTAAACAATAGTGAATCATACATAATCGGCTAAGATTTTATTCGGTAAATAAATGAAAAACTAACGAATAAATTTTCCAGAATAAGTTTGTTTTTTTTCTAATTTTTTTTAAACTTAGGGAGCACTACATGAAACTTCCAAAGTTAATTTTCCCGTAAGTTACGTTTTCATTACTTATGTGAAACTTTTAAATCTAATTTCGAGCAAGTTAGGCAGGCGAGGGGTCATACTTGCTCGAAATTAGACTAAAAGTTACAAACTTCTAACCGGTTTTTCTCAATACTGGGACAGATTCCTAGAATGTTGTTCGGATCACGTCTAAAAGGGTTTGAATATGATATATCCTTCGACACTTTTTGATGATTTTTTTGTGGAATCACGACTAAAAGAGTTTGAATATGATATATCCTTTGACTCATTTTGATGATTATTTGTGGTACCTGATTTTCATTGGAAAACAAACAAAAAAACGAAAACACCCGAATACAAAGTTCCTCACCATTTTCAATGGTCGGATCATTGACAGAAATTTATACATTATGCGCTTGAGGCAATTGTTGCTGTTTTTATTATTGTCGCCTTACTTAAAAATTTCAAATGAACGAAGTGAAAACATATATCTAGGTAGCATGCTTTTTTTTTCAGGAAAAAGTCAGTTGTTTCCGCTCAAATTGATTTTTTTGCGGATTTAACTCTGATATAGTGCAATTTGATTTCATTTGCTAAAAGGAAGGTCAATCGTGTTCTCGGTATTTTACTAAGCGATCATTGCTGGTTGATTGCTTAGTAATTTATCCTAAGTTATAAGTCTCACCTTAGATCGTCAAGTTGTCTTGAAAAACGTTATAGTAAAAACAATAGTTAGAAAAGGTATGAATTAATTTGCTGGGTAAATACAAAGCACAGGGTTATTAGATTATTTAAATGAATCGAACAGCTTAAAGAAATATACATATGAGGGGAGGATTAGTTTATCTTATTTTGTTCATCAATATTTTTGATGATTCATCAATATCTTCTTACTAAGGTCGACGATTGTTCAGTATTCTTGGGTCACCCTTGGTTATGTCCACTTCGGCGCTTCTGCTGGGTCGTCTGTAGTGTCCTTGTTGTAGTCCCCTTCGTCCTTATAATCCGGGTTTCCTCGGTTGTGCGTATCTCGATTTTTAAGTTTTATCGAATTTTTAACGAGAGTTTTTTCTCCATTTTATTTGGAAAAAGACTATTTTTGTTATTGTATAAAGTGGAAAAGAAAAATTATTTATTTTGGAAAAAGAAGTTGTTAAGAGATCGGACTTACTGCTGACTGAGCAAAATGAAACACTGAAGATTTCGGGCCAGTCCTTTTGCTCGTAAGCATAAACCGGCGGCTGATTCAATCTTTAATTATTCAGGTTTCACCTGCTCCTTTGTTCTCCCTTTCTTATAAGGGAATTTTCAACTAGTTCCACTTTGATTAAAACCGCAGCGTTCAAATTTTTCTTTTTAAAAATTCGTATTACTCTCTCTGATGCATCATATTGCAGGTGCATCTCTGCTTAATCAACGCAAGGAGAATTCCAGTGCAACCGGCAAGACTGCTAAATATTTATCCAGCTTGTTTCAAGTTAAAAGGGACGTGTTAATATTCGCCGCCCTTTTTAAAATACTGAGCATGAAAAAATGAGAAAAATTGGACAAGTATTTAAAAAGTAGTGGATTTTGTGATTTATATCTGATTTAGTGAAAAGAGGTTTTAATTTAAATGGCACGCTCCAATTTAGAATTGGGTCGTTAAATAAACAATTAAGACAATGGTTTTTTGTCCGAGTAGTATTCCAATACTACAGTATGAAAGTAAAAATGGCGCAAAAACGTGACTAATTTTCAGTTCTCATGTGCGCAATAAATTACCTATTAATCCATTTTTTTTCTAAAAGTGTTAGTTGTATCAGAAAAGTATCAATAATAAAAGATGCTCGAGTTTCAATTCAAAAAGTTTTAAGTAGATACATATTTTTCTTTAAATTCCGAGAAAAATTATCAAATGAAAAATCCATAATGTTTTTCGGTTTCCTTGAGTTCAGTGACGCTTTTCCAACCGTCTGTTGGTTTTAATTAAGCATAAAAAAATTTGCTGGGTGTTTAAGAAATATGAATGTAGTGAGTACTCCTACATAGGTCTTGGCGTGTTTTTTTGTTTGTTCTTTTTAAGGAAAACGTCTTCAAATTTGTTCATATAAAATTTGATTTTTCGTGGTTTGAGTTAGATATATTTTGAAGTTAATTGCATTTCCTTTGTTGGAAAGAAAGCAAACTCCATTAGCGAGCGGAGTAAATTATTCTCTAAATAGGATAGTTATTTGAAATTTCTTATCTTAAATCGAATTTAAGTTCGAATAGTTTGATCGTGATGTGTTTTGTTCTTCGAAATTGAAAAGTTGTAAAATGTTCAAAGTATTCCATTAACTCATTTTCAGTTTCCTTGTTCTTTTGAATTTTTCCAACTCTGTTGGCTGTTTATTAGATTATAAAAAATGAAAAGTAATAATAAAGTATGATGTACAACTCATTGGTTTCAACAGAACTACGGGGGTGGTGGTGGTGAAATGGGGGAGCAAGGCAGTGACGGGGTGGGGGAGAGTAAGAGTACTGCTCTGGAGCAGGCGTTGTTTCTCGGACTTGTGGCAGACCAGTCTATTGTGGAGACTGTAGCCTGGTGCAAACACATCCCAGGTAAGGCTCTTTTTCAATTTAATTGTTGACTCGATGCAGACAAATACTTATGCAAAAAAATCTTCCTTTATTTATTACACTTGCGAAAACAAGTGTCTTGTAATCGGGAACTGAACTTTTTTCCGTACACAACCTTTCTTACTTCTCAAGTTGAAATTGAAAATACTTTATTGCCGAACCTGAGCATCTTTTTGACTGCTCCTTGATCCTTGAACGTGGTTGCCCCTTGACCCTAAGGTTTGTGGTTGCCGGCCGTACTTTTTTCAGAATGTATGAAATCATTTACACTTGCGAAGCAAAGTGCATTAATACGATTTTTTTTAAAAAATCTAAGCCGCATTTAAAAGTGCTACTTTTGTTGGCACTTTTGAATCAGTAGACTGCGGCAGCAGTATAATATCATATGTAATTTGACATTTCATTAGTAAAAACTTAACACAGCTGATGCATTCTTAATTCATCAAATGAACCGAAAAATAGTTCTTTCAAACACCAGTACAATGATAAAAAGCCCGATTTCAGAAATTTTGCAACTCAAACATATCTCGCTCTTTTTTTTTAATTGCATAATTTATACATAATTAGCCGATTTATTACATGCAAAATTCTGTCTTTTGAATTTGGTGTTGCGTTATTGGTGGCTAGTTTTTGAGAATTTTAAGCATTCGTGGTTAGTGCGTGAGACGCAATTTTGCTAGATCGCAGATTTTTGCTAATTCGAGGCTTTTTTTCTACTTTCTAATGTCACTTGATAGAGCTGCTTTTTGGTCGTGTTCTCGTAAGTGTTTGAGAAGCGCAGCTTCTCCTCTGTGTAAAAAATTTCCGGGGAAAATTGAATTATCGGTTTTTTGTTTGTGTGCTCATGATTTGTTGGCTTATTTGCCATATTGTAGAGTTTTTTGTGCAGTCAGAAATTTTTGGTAGTAGATGCAACTGTTTTTGATGTAATCGTGTAATTCATCAAGTTGATATCCCTGACTTTGTGTAATTTCTTTGTTTTTTTTTCGCTTTAAAGCTACATTTGGCTTAAATTTTTCGTCTTAAATTTTGTCCGTTAGTTACTTTGATATGTGTCGCTTCAAGGGCAAAAATGATTGCACTAGCGTCAGCTTAGTGTATCCTTAAGAACCTTTTTTTTTCTAACCTAAGTGGCAAATATTGGTGCCACTTTTGGGGCACCTTTACAGCTTTTTGATGATAGCAGATGCTTTGACATTTGAATAGTAATAAGTTAACACAATTGATTCATTTTTAATTCATCAATTGAACCGAAAAAAGCTATTTGTTTCAAATAACATAACTCAATTAAAACTGGATTTCAGAAGTTTCCTAATTCAAAATATCTCTCAATTTTTCGAAATTCATAATTTATACACAATGTGGCTTTGTTTTGCAATTTGTTAGATGCAAAGTTGGTTATTTTGCAAAATATTACTTGCATAATTGTGTCAATTTGTATTTGGTGTAGCTAGCAATTTTATTTTCGATTTTGTTAATTTCGTCTTGTTTTTTATCCGCTAGTTTGCAATGCTGTGCTTGAGTTGTATCGCAAGTGATGAGAAGCTCAGCTTCGCCTCTGTGTAGTTATTGTTTCTAGGCTATCGCACAGGCTGCTCAACCTCCCAATCTCTGAGTCGGGGTTTCGATTCCGGCACATAGCAAAACTTTTGATTTTCAAGGCTTATTTTTACATTTTTCTTTGCATAACACTTTTCAGAGCGCCCTTTAACCGTTTTTTGCGTTGTGTATGAAAAATACAGACTCGTCTCTGTAAATAAATACACTGCCTGTGAGGCCAACATTGGACCTACAGGTCCCTTTTCACGTGACTAAATCAACTAGCTTCAACTAGCGATGAAGCTTTTATACTTGCAATAGCAGATACCTTATAGTTGGGTAAAAGACTTTTTCGCCTGTAAAACTTTTAAAACCTTATTGAAGTAGGTGACTGCATTTTGCGCTCCAGTGTTATCTTTCCACCAAATTTGAGAGCTATACTTGTAAATGGTTTCTTAGTTTAAAACATAGGTAAGTTAATTTTCTCCATTTTTATGCATGCATGTGATTAAAGTGTCAATGAACTTGTAGTGAAAACGCTTTATTGGTCGTGTTGATTTTCTTCGTTTTCACAAGAAAAAGTTCATTAAAAATTTAACGCTCTAATTTACTTCTCTGAGTTTTGACTTCAGAGATCTTTTCAAGTTCAATTCGATTTCATGCGTTCAAGGAAGGCAAATTAAGCTGTAATCAATATAGCGAAAATTCAAAGAGCGCAAAAAACGTGAAAAACTTTTTGTTTCAATGATATTTTTAGGGTTTATGTTTATATTGTATCGCAAGTGGTGCGAAGCTCCGCTTCGGCTATGTGTTGATTAATACTCCTCTAATGTTGTTCAATTTTCTGCTTTATTTTTACGTTTTTAGTTGAAAAGTTTCATTGCAGAAGCCTCAGCTATTACATACACTGTGAGTTTGTCTCGATCAAAAAACTAACATATACTAAACAGTTTTTAGGCAGTTTGTGGTTTAAAAAGCTTCGTTAATTTTTAAATTGATTTTTACGCTTGCGATTAGCAAGCAATATCAAATCGGAATATTGACTCTTTTCGGGTTCAACAGATTCACTTGGTATTTTGGCTCATAAAGAATTCAAATTTCCAAGCGTCTCCGACACACTTGGTCTGGAGGTAACGAATATGCCTGGGACCGCAAAGGTCCTGGGTATGAATCTGACCAGGACCTGTTTTTTTTTCAAACCGGAATTTATCCGTTTCAAAAATTATCGGCCTATTATTGTAGTTGTTCGAAATGGTTGGCCCATTGTTTAGAATTGTTTGATCGAGTTTTCATATGGGTACATGGCTGCATACATCCGAGGGTTCGCCACTCCCTGGGATGCCAGAGCTCCGTTAGCCCCACACTGCTGGCAGCAGTGCAGGTACACCCCTGCACCACGATGAGGAGGAGATGGGTTCTACATGGGAACAACAAAAAATCTAGCGACCCCTCAAATTCGCAGCCAAGCCCTCTCACAAATCAACACTGATACACCCAGTTTGGACGAAATCTCGCTCGCAATAAGAAAATTGAAGACAAACAAAGCAGCAGGAAATGATAATATCCCCCCGGAACTTTTTATTCATGGCCAACATGAACTTCTTCCCCACTTGCAACGCCTTCTCTCACTTATTTGGAAAGAGGAGAAGATTCCAAATGACTGGAAGACAGCAGTCATAGTCCCCATCCACAAAAAAGACGACAAAGCCAAATGCTCAAACTATCGTGGCATCTCACTCTTGAATATCGCTTTCAAGATCTTAGAGGCGATCCTTAAAAACAGGCTCGAACCAGCCTATGATACAGTTGCTAGAGACAACCAGGCTGGCTTCAAAAAGAAGCGCGGATGTCGCGATCAAATATTTGCAATCAGACAAATAGTAGAACAAAGACACGAATACAATAGACAGACTGTTCTCGTATTTATTGACTTTAAAGCTGCGTTTGATAGCGTCAACCGCGAGACAATCTGGTGCATCCTCGAGAGTCACGGCCTCCCATCCAAAATCCTCCAAATCCTAAGAGCCATGTACACAGAAACGTTTAGTACAGTCAGGGTTTACAACTCACTATCTAACCCATTTGCCATTGTCTCAGGGGTCAGACAAGGTTCGATACTTGCACCATTCTTGTTCAACCTTGTAATCGACTGGGCATTGCTCGAAGCAACGGAAAACCAACCCCTTGGCATCGCCCTTGACGATATGGTAATTACAGATCTAGACTTCGCTGATGATATCTGTTTACTTGAAGACAATATCAAAGACGCACAGACACTTCTTGATCTAGTCACTCGCGCCGCTGCAAAAGGCGGTCTTGAAATAAACACATCCAAAACGAAATTCTGCTCTGCTTATCCTGGAGACCAAATGACCTGCAATGACGCCCCCATCGATAGGGTGAATACTTTCACCTATCTAGGCAGCAACCTGCAACTCGATGGTGACGTGTCACACGAAATCCAGATCCGCCTCGGAAAAGCAACAGGACGCTTCAAACAATTAGACAAGCTCTGGAAACAAAGATCAGTCCCGACCAGAATCAAATCGAAAGTATACAAAGCATGTGTCGAAAGCGTGCTCCTGTACGGATGTGAATCCTGGCCAGTCAAGGCATCCGATACTCAACGCCTCGACTCCTTCAACTGCAGATGCCTGAGAAACCTTGGTGCTCCGACAGACACCATGAGTTCCACCGTACAACAAAGACGCCTCAAATGGCTAGGGCACACCCTACGCATGGAACCCAACATGATACCCAACGCATGCCTGGAATTTGAGAAAGCCGACAACTGGAAGAGACCCCCCGGTGGAGTAAAGAACTCGTGGAGACGGTTAGTGAAGAAGGAACTCCGCCCATTCTTGAAACCCCAAAAAATGACCCACAAGAACTGGGAGGCAAGCTGGTTCGATTTGGCCAAAGATACTGCACTGAACAGGCCGCAGTGGAAAGCAATTGTGAGAGATATACATATGGCGGGCAATGGGCAGTAATGCTCGAAAACGCCCTACGAAGACGAAGAGGTCTGCCTAAGTTTTTTCGACTTAGTTGCCTCGTATTAGAATTTTTTTGCTGTATTCAGCTTTCATAGTAGTTGCATTTTATGTTTTCATTTACTGCTGCATTTTGAACTGGTACTAACCTTGAACCAACCACTTGTACTAACCTTGACTTCGTATTATTTTCTTTTAAGTTTTTTCGCTTAAAAAAGTTTTTCGGCCGGAATGATTTCGGCTTATACTTTATCGTCTTGTTAACCTAAATTTGGGTTTTGTCGAATGTTTCCGGACGTGTTTTTCGTAAATATAACATCATTTCAGAAAACAGTTTGAAGCTTTTTAGTTGTGATTTCTTCGAAAGATTTTCTGTTTTCTTTGGAATTAGTGGCTTTCCTTTCCTTTGCTGTCTGCTAGATTGCAATGCTGTTTTTGTTACAAGTTTGAAATACGCTCGAAAAGATGTTGAATAGAAAAAGGAAACGCATGAAATTATTAGGGCAAATATTTTGATATACTGTTTTGGTTTCAATTCAAGCAAAAGAAAAGCCTAACGAGGATAGATTTCATTTAGGTTTTGTGGAATTGTCACCTGACGACCAACTGAGTCTAATCTACAACAGCTGGGCGGATATTCTGATTCTGAATGTGGCCTACAAATCAGTGAGCCAACTCAAAGACGACGAACCTTCTCAGAACTTCAGCTCGGTCACATTTGCTGCAGATACAAGTCTGGATTCGGAATTATTAAGAGACAAAGCTCATCTTCTGAAGTTTGTCGAGTTCTCTTTGACTACCATTTATAGAGTACATCAAGCTAAACTCTGTGCAGAAGAAAGGGCTTTGCTGAAAACGATGGCCTTATGCTGCCCTGACGCGTTGCGTCTATCAGCCGCAGGTGATGTGGAAATAATGCAAGACCAAATACATGACGCAATGCGAGATTTCGTCTCATCTAGGTACCCGAATGATAAGAACAGACTGTTCCGACTGATAATGATTCTACCCACTGCCAGATCGGCAGGCTGTAAGTTAATTGAACTGTTGCAGAAAATAGCGGCATCTGGTGCGCTTAGCCGAACTGATGAGAACGGCGAAACTGTGAGCTCGTATATTTTTATGGAAATGCTGCCATTAATATCATAATTTGTAAAAATGGTTTTGCTGTAAATTAAGTGTCTATCAAATTATATTGTTTTTCAAAGTTCTATCTTTAAATTACAAAATCTATAATTAAATAATTTAATTGAAAAGAAAAGTGTTTATTTCGTTGTTTTTATCGTAGCAGTCTACAGAACGAAAGTGATGCAGCTAATTGCCTTGCAAGTCGCACAGAATGATGATAGGTCAGTTATCATTGCAAAAAAGATAAAAATTGGGAAACAAACTTTGCATCACCAATGAACAGCTTCAATATGATACCATTTTCTTTAAATATTTAATCAGAGATATTATTACTAAATCAGGAAAGGTGTTTTTTTAAACAAAGCTTTGAGATATTTGCAGAATTAGTCTTACTCTCGCAAAATAATTCCTTCACGCATAAGGACTTGAAGAAAAAGAGTGATTTCCGAAGAGCGAAGAATGAAATGAAAATCCTACGCCATTAAAAGTCTCTTGCGGTAAAATGTTCCTCAACTCTTTAAGTTCAAGGTTCGAGTTGAATAAATTAATCGAATGGGATGGAATAGTTTAACTGTCAAAACGATAACACTTCTTTTTGGTCTAATGTAATTTTTGGAGGACAGCATATGTATGTACTCGAAGTTATTTGCAGTCTAAAAATATTCTTAGTTGGTTTCAAAATTGCAGAAAATTTAATAAAGTTGATAGAATCGTATTACGAGATAAGATTTTCGTTTTCCGACTACCGAAGAAATCGACGGAATGTTTATGCATGGATGTATAGCATCTGAAAGAAATTGATGTCTTGAGCTCAAAGTCAGAAAGATGCTTCACTAAACAGGCCCCAAATACGCATCTATGCTGTACCCGACTAATTTTCTAACATAAACTGTTCTATTTTTCAGAAGCACAGGTACAGTATTTTTTTTGTAATAAACGCATGATTAATATTCATGGAGCAGAACAAAGCAGCAGAGAACTTAGGGGCCTGCTTCACCAGAGACGATTTTTCGACAGTTTGAAAATAACAAAACTTGGAAATTAGGACTGCTTGCATCAGGTCAAAGCCCTGAATATTTCGACTGCCCTTTAACTGGTTTTAGACTGATATTATCAAATTCTAAGTGTTGAAAATTGAGCGTATATGAAATTAACAAGACTGCTCGTATCAGGGCAAAGCCCTGAATGTCCCTACTGCCCTTAAATTGGTCTCGAATAGTTTTTGGTAAACTAAAAATTGGCAAACTACGAATTTTTAAGGCTGAAAATATCAAAGTTTAAGTGTTACAATTTGAGTCAGATGATATCAAAAATTTAAAGCCTAAAATTTGTGTGGAATTGTTAAAATTATATAAAAACAATTAGCGTGCCGCAGTTCAATTTCGAACATTGTTTTAGTGCGGAATAATTCGCCATGCGTGAATGCTTCGCGTTAAACTTTCAGCATCAGAGTATAAAACGATCAGTTTAATTAGATTCGGTTGCAATTGAACAGCCAGTTACGCTAATATAGTGGTGTATGCAGTTTCTTTCGAAAAATATTAACGGAAAATATATGCTTGATGTTGATTTTCTGCAGAAAAATTTCGGCGATCGAAATAGTTTCTACAAAAGGTTTTTTTACCCCTAGATGTATTTTTTCAAGAAATCGATTACCCGAGGGACCACGATTTTGTAGTACGTGATATTTCGCCATGCTATCCCGCATTTAAGAAAAGTGAAAACAAATCGATTTTAATGGATTTTCCTGGTCTATAATGTTGTAAATATAATCGATTCCCATGTTACGTGCAGACAACAAAATGGATTTCAGCATTTATCAAGTGAGTGATGCGAAAACTTTGCAAAACGAGTGTACGGCCTGGCCTAATATATTTCAAAACCTAAACTCAAATTGCAAAAAGGTTCAGTTAGCCCCCCCCCCCCCCCCCCCCCCGACAAGAAAACTCAATTATAATCGATTTTTATTCATGGAACTCCAATGCGTGATTCAGCCCTTTGATATTGAAGAGATCCCTGTGTCATCCACCTCCTCAAAGTGGTATGCGCAATGATGAAATGGATGACACCCCCCTCGCCACCTACCTACGGTTGGTTCCTAGGGAACATTTTACTAGTCTGGGGTGATTTTGATTCTTAATTTAAAGTAATTCAACACATTAAAAATAAGTTTTGAAATTTTTGAGTACCGGTGTTATTTCACTAGTATTCGGACCAGTTAGCCAAATTCAATTCAATTTGGAATAGCTTTTGAGACAGATTAATTAGACCTAGAAAACTGGTTAGATACCGAAGTACGAGTATCTCTACGTTGAAGCATCTAAGCAATGCCTCACAGCAGACTTGTTAACGGGCCGCCATAATTGAGGCCCGGCCCGGCCCGATATAATTCAAGTCGAGCCCGTTGGCGGCCCGATAGACAAGGAATTTATTAAATATCGGCCCGTTGGGGCCCGTTGCTGCTTTTTTGGTAAAAAACAAATTTTGTGCTTTGTGGTGCCCACAGAGTCTTCTTCCACAAATGCAAAGATTTCGTGCTTCGTGTCACGTCGAATTTGTTTCTGCAGTGAATCGGCAGTGAACGTAGTAGTCATGTCGTTTAGCACACTGCAAGCTGTACAGTGCGCACTGAAACATAACATTGGTTAGTCAATAAAAGTAAGGCCCGTTGACAAAAGTGAAAACCTCGGCCCGGCCCGACCCGGCCCGTTGAGGCCCACGGGCGGCCCGGCCCGTTGACAAGTATGCCTCACAGCTTGACCCAAAACAAACTAAATACTGTAAAAACGTTTGCAACGAGAACAGCGCTGAAAAACTCATGTTTTGAGGCCGGGGAACAAAGACAGCGAACTACTACTTTACCTTACCATCCAGTTAGGTCAATCAAAATGTTTTTGGTAGCATTGTATCGCATCCAGGAACGCTTTGAGTCTGCCCGATTTGTGAAAACAGAAAAGCGGGAGCTCATGAAAGCGTCTGGGGGTGTCAGCATGCCGGTAGATTGGGTGCATTTTCTTGCACCGTATTACAAAACACGTCCGGCTTGGTCTCGTGACTTCAACCGTCGAGCTGCTCTCACTGTCACACTTAAGCTACTAACCAAAATCATGAAAACCTATGAAATCAAGAACCGGAATCCCAAACCAGTCGATCGAGTGATTACGAAACAAGGCTTAAAACTCTACAGATTTACGCTAACGACCTCAGTGCAAAACAAGACATCATAAGTTGTTTTATGGAGAGCAACACCATACCTAATGCTGCCACCCAGGACACCACATAACTTCATTAAATCTCCTGTAATTAAACCGTTACATAATTACACTTTACATAATTACATAATCGACATTTTGCGAGCGTAGTCCAATATTACGACTTTTTTTTGTTTTCCCAACCTAAGTCGCAAATTCTGGTGTTACGTTGGTGGCACCTTTTCCGCTTTTTGATAGAATGAGCTTTGAAGTTGGATTACTAATAAGGTAACACAATTGATGCATTTTATTTCATTAAACCTCTGTCCTCTCTATTTCTCTGAGTTTGACGAAGATGCAAGGGGAACTGAACTTGTCAAAAATATTGAAGGTTACGGCCACTTGATTGTACGTTAGAATATATTGGCTATCAGCCTGCAATGCTCCAATGTGAAATTCCCTGCAAGTGCCAATTTTTAATGAGTAACTGCCTGGAGTAATAACAATACCTGGAGGTGAGGCTACATTCCAGAAACTCTAGATAGAGGCTGCCAAATGGCTCATTTCACACGCCCGCATCTAGGCCCGCATCCAAAAGAAGCTGTTGAATTCGAATAAATTTTAATCTCATTATCCTTAGTTATCCAAAATTTTCCAAGATGAACAGAAAATTCGACAGCATTGTGAACAGATACAAAATTAATGAGTGGTTCGAGTTCGATAAAAACCTCATTCAGCGAGGAGCTATTCTTACAGTTTTTAAAACTGAACATTCTGTAGCAGACAAATTAAATGACAATACACAACTAACCCATAAACCTGAACAACGAGGCAGTTTTTTATGCCAAAAAGTGTGCAAACCTTATCTATCAATCAACAAAACAAACTGCAGACGCTTATTCCAAGTAAAGGAAAATGCAGCACTCCTGGTAAAAAGGCATAAGCTGAAAATATAGCTTAATCGTCTCACAGCTTCTCACAAATAAAATAGAAGTCAGAAAGGAACGCCAAGAATTAGGGACCGTTTTTTTAGTTTTTAAGATCATTTATCCACGGGGGAAAGGACCAACATACGAGCTGTACAGCTCATCACGGCGAACCGCTGTTGTGCCCTGTTTAAGAACTGCATACAATTTATTTTTTTTTGGTTATTTTTCTGGGCTGGGTAGTGTTGCTTCACCCTCAAAAAATACAATTTATTTTTTTTGGTTATTTTTCTGGGCTGGGTAGTGTTGCTTCACCCTCAAGAAACGAGCACGGATCATGGTGGGCCTCGAACATCCGACCTTTCGATTGAGAGGCGGAGACGTAACCACTTCACCACCGCTCCCCGACCGTTATTTTTTTCCCATTGTTTTTCACTTTCTCTGAGAAAACGTAACTACTTGTCTGAATAATTCATATCTCGATTCAACTGGAAAGTCGATAGATTTTATACCCCACTGAAACCGGGCAAAACCAAGGTTTTTTTGCAAAAACTTACCAATTGAAAGCACTGCGATCACCAATAGTGGGATGATAGAAACACTCCTGCTGGCTGAGGTTAATTTTTCAGCGACTGCCAAAACCAATTGGATTAAAGAATTATAAAATGAAACCAAAACCCTTCTCAGAAGTAATCCACTACCTTCATACAAAAGTAAAACCGACAATCTAAGGATTGAACTTCGACAAACTTTCCACATTCGCTGACCACGTTACCACAATAATTCTTAAGATCAAAAAACCAAATGGTCTACTAAAAAAAATCTCTGATGAGCAGAACCTAAAATGGTAACTACATGCACAAAAATGAGCACAATCAAACAGGTTCGGTGTAAAACTCATTCGCTGCCGGTGAAGCAACACAGAGAAATTTTGAAATACCGAACTTCTTGACGCACTCTTG